GCCACTTTAGCGGCTCTCTTCGCCGCTATCTGCGTTCACGGTTGAACGGCCCGATATAACGTATAATTATTCGAGCAAAATGCCAATTGGTTAACCGTCCATCCGATATATCCACTCGCCGATGGAAAAGTCTAGTGACCACCACGATTTTTCTTTTCGTTGTTGTTTGGGCGTCGCAATGTGTTCACTCGCGTTAAATGTCTCGATAGCTATTATATCTTAAGTTGTTTAATTATTTAAATATTTTTTTAAATTTTTGAAGAAAATATTTCGTTTCGAGAGGCAAAATGTTAAAGTTTAAAGTCACTTTTGCGATAGAAAAGGAAATTACATGGAACGAGGAGGAATTAATAATTTCGTAATCGATTAAAATTTTTAGCCTTTAATTATGATCTTTAAAACTCTTTTTTACAGAGTAATGCAGTTATTCCATAGACTTTTTAAATTCTTGACAAATGTTAAATTCCAAAAATGTGAATCAAGGTATTCCGCGCATTCCACGTAGACAAGAATAATTGAACCGTGGACAATCGTAACATAAGTAAGAATCGCACGATAAACACCGCTTTTAATTACCACGATTCAGTTTAATTGCGTAACGATGAATGAAACCCGCCTCCTCGAAGAATAATACTCGTCAAAGGTCTGACAAACGTGAAACAACGTTCGTGCAGACCTATCTTTTCGTTCAAGCGATTCTGATCTCTGAGTCGCGTGGAAAATATCGCTTCCCTCGATCCAACGAGATCGTGCAATTAAGAAAAGAAGAAGAAGAAGAAGAAGAAGAAGAAGAAGAAGAAGAAGAAGAAGAAGAAAAAAAAATATATATATATATATTCGAACGTATTCCCGCTAAAACTTTTACTCGCGAGTGAATCATTCGGTTGCAGCGTGTATGCAATAAAACTGGGACGCGGTCGTGGCAATAATGGTGGTGTTTGGTGCGCCTCTCCTTCTCTCCTTCTCTCCTCTGCGCCGATTCGAGAGGGTTTGGGTAACGTCTTTGCCCATCCCTGGTTTCCAATCTTTTACGTAATAACACCGAGCACCGTTAATTAAAGCTCTCTGGAACGACGTGGAAGGAACGATCTTTGGTGGAAAGTTTCCGGTAT